AGTAAGTGAAAAGGACTTAGTTATGAGAGAAAAGTTTTTTTAAATGCTCTGACTACACGTCACATATTATTTGTTGAGCTCTCCACAAAGGCCATTGCCTTCAACAGAAAGTAAAAATGACACCAATTGTAATTACAAGTTATCTGCGTAAGTGCACTTAATTGAAGCTCTTTAAATAAGCCCATGTGCAGTTTCCTACATGCTTAGTATTCTTGGAGCATCCTAGCAAGACAGAGAGCTTACTGCAGTAAAAATTTAAAAATAGCTTCAGATCCTTATCTTTTCAGGGAACTGAGATGAAATATTGCACTGCAGGTTCTATGAAATATTGTGACCCAAACTGGATACCTGTAATCAATTCTCCACACTGAAGTTATTATTATTTCATGCACAAAAAAAAAATAGGTTGATACCTTAGTCTGAAATTGCCTTGGCACTTGCAAATCACATAAATCAAACAGAAGACAGTTCAGTGGAGAAACCAACTGTTGATAGCCTCATCTTCAGCATTCACTTATGTATTTGAAAGAGAGGCTTCAAAAATGATGTGTTTGTATAAACCTATGCAGTTGCAAAGCTAATTTCAATGGCTTTACTTACAACCCCTGCATGAGTTAAGCAAGCTTTCCCCTCCCATGCACTGAACTAGAGAGTTTCTCCAGTCTTGCCAATTGATATCTCACTGCATGGAAAAACTTAGACACTTCTTATGACTTATTTCAGTATGGCAGCAAGCAAAAGTGCTAACACACATCCAGAGAGCAAACTTTCTTTCTGTGAGGGCAAAAGGACAAATGTTTCCTAAGACTTTTTAGGCTCCTGTGGATCCACATCTGCCCTACATTCAAACACTCAGCAAGACTGAAAGGTAAAGGGTCACCTACCTCTCTTGTTGGGACTAACACCAGTGCATAAGGCCCATCACTTCGCTGCAAACAGAGAAGACTGCTAAGAAGAATGCAGTGCTCATACACATGACATTTCCACTATTGAAACCTAACAGCTGACAAAGCAAGTTCTCATGGGTTTTAGTACAAACTGGCACGCTATGGTTTGAGGTATTTCCCTCCTCTTTTAAAAAAATCTCAAAAAGACCAACACTCTTTCAAATATCAATATCTCACTGCCACCTCTTTTCTGCTCTGACACCCATCCACAGTCATACCCAAGGTTTTATTCCACATACTGGAATTTATTCCACTGTACCCATTTATTCCAACAGCTGGAAAAGCATCACCCCAACTTTTTTATGGGTTGAAGGCTTTCCAGAAAACACAATGCACAAATGAAGGCAGCAGCGTTCTCTGGTCAACCAGATGATCCAAATTGGAAGCAAATAACAAATCTCACTTGATGTTGAAAATTAGAAGCCTATTATTTCAAAGGACATGGCAGTAACCTTTGTTTTCAGTTTTCCAAGATTCCAAACTTTTGTCTCTTCTGCAATCCACCTGCTTCAAGCTTTACAATATAGCCTATTTAGCTGTTGCAGGATGTAAAAGTGAATGTGCAACATTTTACATATAAGAACATCTACATTTTTCTTACATCATCTGTACCTCAACAGTACAGGACAATCACGTAAGCCACATTCAGAAATGAAAGAAGTGAGACTGCTTAATCTTTGTAACAAGAATAGGCACTGATGACTTCAAGATAACAGATAGAATTTATTTTTTATTAATCTTAGTATCAAAACCAAACATACTTCATTGCACCTACCTGTATTTTGGATTTCATTCCTTGCAAAGACTGTACAAGTGGAATTCCATAGGCAAGAGTTTTACCTTCATAAAAGGAAGAAAATTGGAAGAATATCCAAGGAAAAAAAAAATAAATAAAGGAAATTGTGGTACTCCAGAAAATAAAAGTATAGTTCACCCCACTATTCTTAAACTGAAGTCAGAACTTGGAAAACTCTTAACTAAGTAGAATGTTTCCAGGAAGGAAGACTGGTAGTTTATACACTCAGGGGTTAAATTAAAAAGGAGAGAAAGCAGAATCCAACTAAGATCCATCTAAATAAATACTTCCATCCACTCAAGAAAACGTGACATCAAGACAGTTAACTGTAGAGCAAGCACATAAGTTTATTTGATGAGAGCGTGCTGCTTAGCTCCACTGGCCTCCTGGACTGGCATCCCCAGCACAAGCCTTGGAACTGGCCCACGTGCAATAGCTGGCAGCTGCACATCATCATTCAGTCCCACCACTGTGCACTGTGTCATTCCAGAAGTTTGCACAGCATCTGTCTGTGCCACAGCAGTCCCACCCCAGGGTTCTGAGCCTGTCACTCTCATAAGCTGTACTAGAAACATGATGTTTTGGTTCTTTTTTTCAGATCCAACTTAAAACGCCCTAGGAATGAAAACTGGCAATTAAACACTGACCTGAACCAGTCTGAGATCTCACCAGAGCATCTTTGCCTTGCAGGAGCACAGGAATTGTTTGCTTCTGAACACTGTGTAACAAACAAAACAGGTCAGGAAATACAGATGCAAGAGAGCATAGAAACCTAAAGTTATAACATACAGTGACTGTTTCAAAACTGTTTACCCTTAATTCCACATGTCCATCTCTGCTATATAGCTACACCAGTAAAGGTGGCTTTTGAGGAAAGTCTACAGATACCTGTTAGGTATGATAAATCACAAAAAAAGATGATTTTATGATTTAAGTACCAAATTAGGAGCTAGGACTCCAAGGTTTCATCTCTACCCATGACAATGAATTGCTGTGTAACTTAGAATCATTTATTGTCCCAAAATGTGAAAGAAACAAACCCTGTGGAAAGTGGGTCAGCCTAACAGTTGCTGCTGCCTTCACAAACCAATTAGATGTAATGAAACAATCACATACGATTGGCTTTAAGAGTCAGTGAAATGTGAAGTTTTGATATGGTGTTTGCTTACCTGGTCATACTACATATCTTCAGAACTGTAGTTATTGTGGCTATCTAGAGAGAGAACGAACAGGAATAAGGGGGTTTTGTTGTCAAACTGTCTTTTTTGTTACTTTTGTAGCACAAGACAAAGCAAAAACCAGAAAACACATTCTCTACTAGCCCAGGACAACCAAATGGAAAAGTTTCAATATCCTCAAAATACTTCTACCAGTTCATCAGAATTACACCATTGCTGGTACAACATGAAATACCAGATTTGTTAAAATACTGAAATTCTCAAACAGTTTTAAGTGGTTTCTACATTACAGATGGAAACAGCAAAGAGTGCTGAGTCACTGTGTGCAGGGATATGTCAGGATACTGGTCAGCACACTGAGCTAAGGGACTGAAACACAATCAAAGCACTGTTGAGTCTGTCCAAGTTGCCATGAATATAAGCACATCTCTCATCTTTCAAAAGTCACCCCCCCTCAAATAGCACGTTCTAAGGCACAAAGCCTCCACAATACTCACCAGGTGTGGATGGAGGTCCAACTGGCTGAAAGAGTCTGTAGTGAAAACGTTTTCTTGCACTTGCTGCACTGCTTTTCTGAGTTAGGGAAAACAAAGCAAAGCATACGGTATGGTTAACAATTACACATTAGCATTTCATGTAGAAAGCAAAGAAACCAAATGCCAAGCAATTGCTTTGCCAAAGCAAAGGCTAGAATTGAAGCCTGAATCTCAAACACTGGAATTTGTAAGATACCTGTGAATTTCTGGGATGTCAGGGTTGTTTCTAAACAGGCTGGATGTCTTAATGAAAAGTTTGCTTTTCTGGCTTTCATTTTGGCTGGCAGTCAGTTGCTTCTTAGGAAGAGACCTTTTTGATGAGCTTCCCTTTTCCCTGGTGCCAGTCTCTGCAGCACGTTTCTTGAAGTTGTTTACTGATGGCTTCGGTTTACGTTTCAGAGGTGGGTTTCCATGTGGTGACGACTGGAGCTTCCTTTTCAGAGCATTAGGCTGCTTTGATGTTAGCAAACAGATCAGAGAGCAAGAATGCATTAATGAATGAGGATTAAGTAAATGGTACCATATTTCATTCACAGTGAACAACAGAAATATTAGTCCAAAAATGGATCCCTTCTTTTTTAAACCCTCTGCACCTTAATTAAGGAGATTTTAAAAAGGTAGATTTTTATACGTAGTCATAAATAAACTAGGAACCGTTCAGCTACAGAAAAATCACTCTCAAAATCTCTGCAAACCTCCTCACATCATCAAACCAAGCTCAGAGGGGTTCTTCACTTCTCTTAGGAAGAAGAACCCCATCCTTCGCTCCAACCCGTTGCTCCTGCCAGCTTTCAAGGCTTCCGAGCTCTTTTTCTTTTACCACAACCGGATTCTTTCCTTACCTCCCGATCTGAGGAAATCTTTTTCCCTCCACAAACAGCGAGGAAAGAAACTCATTTCGCTTCCTTCGTCCCTAGAGCTCCTTCACGCTCAGCCCTCTTTCAACGAACGCCCGACCCCCGCACAACGCCCCGCACAGCCCCGCTTCTCCCCGTCCTCCTGCGAGCCGCCCGGTTCTCGAGCCCCATTCATTCCCCCCCCTCCCTTCATTCACGCCGTTCGGCACTAAACAACTCCCAGCTGGGACTCCGTGCTCTCGAAGCTTTCTTTACACACCGGCCGAATCCCAGCTGCGCTCCGCACGCCTCGCACCCGGCACACCGCGCGACCACCCCCCGCTCCCCTCAGCGCTCCCCACACAGGGATTCACCCCCCCGCAGCCCCCAGCCCCCCTCAGGCTCTCCCCCACCCCGCCCATCAGCAGCGCCATCCTCGCTCACCCACAGCGAACCCCGCTCAGCTCCCCCCCCACACCCCGCTTTGCCGCCCCCGCGGTTCCGTTCCCAAGCGACTCCCCGTCAGGCAGCAGGCGGCACCCACCCGCCCGAGGTTGAGGAGCAGCGGCCCGTCCTCCTGCATGGCGCCGAGGCGGCCGCGCTCAGGCAGCGCCGGGGCAGCCGCACAACGCGGGGCCTTCGGCGACGGCGGCGCATGCGCGGTGCGGGCGGGGCGGCCGCGAGGCGGCGGTAAGATGGCGGCGGCGGCGGAGAGCGGGGGCGGCCCGTCAGCGCCGGCGGCGGGGGAGGAGGAGCCGCCGCTGGGACTCGATTCGCTGGTGGAAGAAGCGGCGGCGACCGCGGCGGCCAGCGCAGGGTTCAGATTGACGGCGGTGAGGAGAGAACCGGCGGTGCGGCTGCAGCACGGGGTCAGCGGGTTGGAGCCGCTGGCCTGGTCGGAGGACCATCGGGTGTCGGTGAGCACCGCCCGCAGCATCGCCGTGCTGGAGCAGCTCAGCGACGTGCACAGCGGCGGGCAGGAGATGGTCATCCATCGCACCGCCGTGCCCGCGCCCGGCGCCGCCTGCCTGCTGAAGGTGAGCGGCTGCGAGGGTCGGAGAGCCGTGCGGGGACGCGGTACGGAACGGCTCCGAGGACGAAGTGCTGCTCCAAGAACCGCTTCGGCGCCGGCACTGAGAGCTACGAGTGTAATTCCGAGTGGAAACGCTGCTCGCCTCGCTGTCTGAGCGGAAAGGTTTCCGCGTTTCTCTTACACTCCTCACCCGCACAGCACTCAGCTCCGGCTGAGCATCTCAGTAATCAGTCGGTGTCACTCCGATTATTGATAGTGTGTTTCCAAAACAACACTTTAGATTAAGTAAAGCACCTCATATTTCACGTTACTCCACTCTCAGTGTTGTTCAAATCCCTTTCTGGACAGCTTGCAAAACGTTCTTTGGTTCAGCAGACAAAGATTCAGAAGCCTGAAGTCCTGGAAGGACGCAGCTTAGAGGGAAAACTGATGGTTGGATGCGATTTTTTGCAGTCTCTTTTAACTTTAATGATTCTAAGTCAGAACTTGTACAAGTTTTGGCCAACAGAGATGCTTCAGTCGCCAAGATTGACGTCAGATAACTTGAGCACTGTAGCACGGGTTGTGATAGAAATGCTCTGTTTCAGATGGGTCAGGCTGGAGCAGGCTCTGTGCACCTGACTGAGCTGTACGTGTCCTTATTCATTGCAGGAAGTTGAACCAGATGGCCTTTAAAGATCCCTTCCAACTCAAACGGTTCTACGGTAATTAACTCCAAAAAAGCCTTCTTCAAATAACATTCTAAACCTTAAGTTTTTTATGTTATCTTTCAGGTTGGCCCAAAAAAGGAGGTAGCAGAATGCAAGGAGAAGTTTGCCAATTCCATGGATCCGACTGTTAGTCAAACATTTATGCTGGATCGTGTGTTCAATCCAGAGGGAAAGTCGCTGCCGCCGATGCGAGGTTTCAAGTATTCCAGCTGGTCACCACTGGGCTGTGATGCCAACGGAAGGTGCCTGCTTGCAGCTTTAACCATGGACAATCGATTGACCATCCACGCAAACCTCAACAGGCTGCAGTGGGTGCAGCTGGTGGACCTGACGGAAATCTATGGGGAGCGTTTGTACGAAGCCAATTACAGACTGACGAAGGCTGACACTCCCAGGGGAGAATTAGAAGACTTCTCTGAATTTCAGCGACGGCACAGCATGCAGACCCCAGTACGCATGGAGTGGTCGGGTATCTGTACCACTCAGCAGGTCAAACACAACAACGAATGCCGGGATGTTGGCAGCGTGCTCTTAGCAGTGCTCTTTGAAAACAGTAACATTGCGGTTTGGCAATTTCAGCTTCCGTTTCTGGGTAAGGAATCAATTACTTCTTGCAATACCATAGAGTCCGGAATAAGTTCTCCGAGTGTCCTGTCTTGGTGGGAATATGAACATAACAACCGAAAGATGAGTGGACTTATTGTAGGGAGTGCTTTTGGACCAGTTAAAATCCTTCCAGTCAATCTAAAAGCAGTCAAAGGCTACTTTACGCTCAGACAGCCCGTAGTCTTATGGCAAGAAATGGACCAGTTGCCAGTGCATAGTATCAAATGTATTCCTCTTTACCATCCCTACCAGAAATGTAGTTGTAGCTTAGTGGTGGCTGCAAGAGGATCTTACGTGTTTTGGTGTCTTCTGTTGATATCCAAGGCAGGTCTGAATGTCCATAATTCCCACGTGACAGGGCTACATTCTTTGCCAATTGTATCTATGACGGCGGACAAACAGAACGGCACAGTGTATACGTGCTCCAACGATGGAAAGGTAAGGCAGCTGATTCCTATCTTTACAGATGTTGCTTTAAAGTTTGAGCACCAGCTGATTAAGCTCTCAGAAGTGTTTGGCTCTGTAAGGACTCACGGAATAGCTGTTAGCCCCTGCGGTGCATACTTAGCAGTTATTACGACCGAGGGCATGACTAACGGCCTTCACCCTGTTAACAAAAACTACCAAGTTCAGTTTGTTACCCTTAAGACTTTTGAGGAGGCAGCTGCACAGCTCTTGGAATCTTCTGTACAGAACCTTTTCCGGCAAGTGGACTTGACAGATCTTGTGCGCTGGAAAATCTTGAAGGATAAGCATATTCCTCAATTTTTACAGGAAGCACTGGATAAAAAGATTGAGAGCTGTGGTTCTACTTATTTCTGGCGGTTTAAGCTGTTTCTCCTGAGGATTTTATACCAGTCAATGCAGAAAGCTCCCTCAGAGGTGATGTGGAAGCCTTCCCACGAGGATGCAAAAATACTGATATCTGATTCTCCTGGAATGGGCAGCACTGAAGATGATCAAGAGGAAGGAACCTCTAAACAAGCCAGCAAGCAGAGCCTATGTGACACAGGCAAAGGTATGGACATAGATGACACTGCAGATGATTCTCTTCCTCAGTCGAGTGACATAGGAGGCCGTGAGCCAATGGAAGAAAAGCTTCTTGAAATACAGGCACAAATTGAGGCAGTAGAAATGCACTTGACACGAGAACACATGAAACGGGTGTTGGGAGAAGTTTATCTACACACATGGATTACAGAAAACACCAGTATTCCCACCAGAGGAGTCTGTGATTTCTTAATGTCCGATGATGGATATGATGACAGAACAGCACGAGTAAGTGCACCTCTATGCTCTGGGGATTTGGTGTTACAAGTTACTTCTTTCACCCCCTTCCACAACCTTAAACGAGAACACAGCTTGGGTAGGAAAGAGAACTATAATCACGTAATCCCCACTAAACAGCTCCTATAGTGCTTACATCTTAAGTTGTGCTTCCTTGAAATTATGGAACAAGAGGGAATGGAAGTACAGGTGTTGAAATCTGGATCAGGTACAATAAAGAATAAACACGTGTAAACACAGTTTTGGCAGAACATGGGAGAGGCTCAGTGATTCCACTGCTGTTGGTAGGTTTAGAAGGTGTGCTGATTGAGAAGAATGTTTTGGGGGCTAAGTTTACTTAATTTAGCATCTCTACAGAATTAAACTTATCCTCTAGAAGGTTACATCTGCAGTTGTAATTTTTTGGAGGCCTGCATTTCTGTGGCAGGAAATCAGTGATCAGTGACTCCTGCACTGGGCAGTGAGGTTTCCTTCAGATGAAGGAAGCTTCAGTGGGAATGCTGCCCTCAGCCTCCCTGCTCTTAAGACTGGATGACAAGATTGTCTCACAATTTGTCTATGCCTCTTTGTACAAGCAGAGAACAATACTTTTCTGTACCCAAATTCCCAAACCACTTGAACTGTAAAAACCAATCTTTACATTGCATTCAGAAGGACAGACAAGCATGGTTTCTGTTACTGATGCAGTGTGGTATTCTCTGCAAGCAATCAGGGCACACAGTGGGCTCTTCAGTAATTCACTAGAAAAGCATTCTGGCAGAACTGCTGTGCTTTTCTAGTACCCAATTACTATGAATTGAAGGCTTCTTCAGTCTACTTCTTACAGTGATTAAAAGCTGACTTCCAAATTCTATTTTATCTATTTGGTTTGCTGTCACATTTTAAAGGTTCTTGGGATGTGGTTTACAAACTTTACATTGAAATGACAAATTTGATCATGTAGATGTTCTAGTGTAAACACTATGTATCCTCTGTGATGACTGCTGAACACATACATCCCACTAGGTGTTGGATAGGTATTTTGGGTTGGTTTTTTTTCTTTTTTTTTTAGCACATTCACCGTGATACACGTGAAAACATCATTGTAACCATCACTGATATCTTCTCAAGTGCTACAACATCAACTTTTGCAGTGGCATTTACATTTATAATCAACCTAACACTGTTGCTTTCTGTACCCCTTTAGTACAGGACAGATTAATCTAGGAGATTATGATAAAGCAAGAATAAATCTCTTTGACAGCCTTGTGTTTCTACTTCTGGATATGCTCCAGTGAAGTGGATAGATCTTTGCATCCTGTATCATATTCTAAAAATCACTATATCCTGAGAGACTCCTCTACCTTTCAGTAGGCAGCTGTCTTGTATAAACGATGCTGACTGCTGTGTATTCCCAGGTGCTGATTGGGCATATCTTAAAGAAAATGAACAAACAGACTTTTCCAGAGCACTGCAGCTTGTGTAAGGAGATCTTGCCATTCACTGATCGCAAACAGGCAGTCTGCTCCAATGGACATATTTGGCTCAGGTAATCTGTTCTTAGAGTTTTTGCCTTTCCCCTTCCTCCCCTACATAAATTAAACATGTTTAAATAGCTAACATAAAATACTTTGTAGTTTTGGAGTAAGAAGTCGTGAAGTGTGTTGCCATACCAATTAATTGCTTTTTTTTTTTTTCTTTTGCTGGCTCTTATCTGTCCTCATCCCTGAAAGAGAAGACACTGTAGTTTGGACTTGGATATTTTATCAGTATACTGTTTTCAAAATAAAATGCTTATGATCATTTAACTCTTTTCTTCAAGCACGGGGAGGGATGGGACAGGGAGAAAGTGGGGGGAGGATGAGAAATGAAGCACATGTCATCCTTTGGAACAGTACATAAAAGAATTCTAGCTACTTAGCACTGAAAACAAAGTGAAAAATGATAGGCAGCAGCCATGCTGAGATGTCAGAGATATTCTGGAATATCTAGAAAAGGAAATATTTCTATATCAATGTATCAAGATGCTGTTGGTCCCTGGAACCTTAGCATGGCAGCAGTCTCACTTTAGAAAAGCCTTTCCCACATACATTTTTCTTAACAGATGTAAGAGCTATTTTGGCTAAATGGTCATTGCTTTTGGTTGGAGACACTGTGGTTCTTCCCCTGTGCAGTGGCTGTGGGACATTTTGCCTCTCCTACTGTCCACTACAGTTCTTTGGCCAATAATGAACCTTTTTTCCCTAGAAAGCTGGGTTTTGGACTTTTTAATTACGTGTGCTTGTGAAGTTTCACTTATTTGAATGAATAAACTATCAATTCTTGTGTTTGATGTGGCTCACACTGCCCTTACCTCAGGAGGCAAGGTCTGTTGGGAACAGAACCCAACCAGCCTGTGGGCAGGGTGTGTGAGCAGGTTACCAAACGCCAAGCTTTGTGATTAAAAGCAACTTGTCCTTTCACAGGTGCTTTCTAACCTACCAGTCCTGTCAGAGTTTGGTATACAGGAGGTGTTTGCTTCACGACAGCATTGCACGGCATCCAACCCCAGAAGGTAAATCATTCCTGTGGCCCAAAAGGGCAGGACTGTGTATTTTTACATCTTATTTGCATGAAGACCTGAATTAATTTCACTGACTTTTCTCTTTCAGGCAGCTATATGAAGGTACTAGTAATGCACTGTGTGCTGTCCTGGTTTTGGCATGCCTTATTGGTAGATGTTAATTACAAAATAGCTACTATGGGAATTGTTAGCATTGTATTTTATGACAGCTGGTAAACACGTAAACTACAGTAGAGTGCTACAACAGTTAGTTTATATTCAAGTTAAAGAAATGAATTAACACAGTTCTGCAGATGCGGGCTGTCTCTGACATTCAATGCAAGTTGTATTAAACCAGCACAAGTTAAGAAAAAATGGGCAGCCTGCTGGCTTAGGCCCCAAATTCTGCTGATACTTTTCCTCTCTATAAGCTGTGAGAATTCCTGTCATCACTAAGGATCAATTACAGAACTGAAACCTCTATAGAGAGGCTGTAACCTTCATTTCCTCCATGCTGGAGGGGGACAAAGAAAAAAGAATTACAGACTGCAAGCAGTGCATGTAATTTCATCTAAAAATAAGGATGCTAAATTCTGGCATTGTGATTCTTCAGGTTTTTTTGCCTGTTCGAGTTGTGTGTGACTTTTTCCTATCTGAGACTGCTTAGCTGAGTTTGTAATGATGAACATTGACTGTTTCACCTTAGTTTTGTCACCTGCTGAAAAGAGATTTAAGCTGTCATTATTTGGAATTTCAAGTCAGAAATGGAGTTGGATTCTCTGAACTCTCAGTTAATCCTGCATGGTGAATGTACGCAGACTTTCAGGATTGCTATTTAGTTTGTCCATTTCAGCATCATTTCTGTTCATCTGCATCTCCAGTTCTAAAGAGTGTTTTCTTATTTGCAGATCCTGAGTGGATCAAGAGGTTATTGCAAGGACCCTGCACGTTCTGCGATTCTCCTGTGTTCTAGAGAAGAGTTATGTAAAGACTGAAACTATTTTCTTGACTGCATAAGCTCCCTTCACAGTCTAGAATGATACCAAGTGCAGGAATATAAACTTTACTGGAAGGGGAGGACTCTGTCCATGACCCTGTAAATAGAACGCTGGATGTTCTAGAAACTCCCTATGTCCAGAGGCCGTTCCATGCTCCAGAAGCAGAAGTACATCTGGAAGAGTGAGCTCATAAAACAGTTTAGAAATGCACCCCATTGATGTGTCAGCAGCTGGACATGCTTCCTTTTACTGAAAACAAACTGAAGTCTTAAGCACACAGAGTGAACTGTCCTCTCTGCAGGACAACTGTGTGATTTCCCAAAAGCTTGGAGGGAACGGCGGAGCTGCCTCTTGAATAGCCTTGGTGGGTAGAGCAGGCTTTAACTTGTAGTGCTTGTTTGCCTTTTTTCTCCCCACAATACGGGCCCTTGCTGCAGAATATTAAATTAACAAAACATTTTGTGGTTCTAATGTCTTGAAGAGCAAAGCCAATGTCAGTTGCAGCCATAGGAAAGAAATTGGCCATCGTATTAGTTTCACCCAAAGTATTGAAGAATAACTGCCTTTGAGCTATCATAACAGTGTTGCAGTTAGAAGAGTAAACTATTGCTTGGATCAAATACAGATCAGTAAGAAGAGTCTTTAATGTAATGAATTTTAAACTATTAGCAATTAGATTAAACACCAATATATATAAAATTTCCAATCTCAGGTCTCCAGCCCGACTTTCTTTTTCTAAAAAAGTTCTGACTACTTCCCAATGTGTGTACTTTTCAATTCACTTAATTTACCAACAAGAATGATCTTTTCCAGCGCAGTCAGTACCAAAACCATTACCAATTTACCTTAATTTCAAATGAATTGAGTCCCCTCATACAGATGTTGTTTCACAGAAATCTGACATAAGTAATCACTCCCAGCTGACAGCTTCTCTTTTCACGATAATACAGTAAAAGCAAAACAAAAACCCCAACATGGCTCATGTACTCCAGGTAAAGTTTTCACAGCTGGTCTTGGAGCCTGGTGAAGCTGCTCTTGTATAACCCTGACTTTCTCATCAAGAGATTCATAAATAAGGCAGTGATGTAGCATGGCTGAGCCCAGAAATCCGTTCTGCTTTCAGAAAAAAAATGTCTTTTGCATCTAGTTCACACAAGGAGCAGGAGAATCCTTTTCAGCTTCCTATGCAGTGCTAGAGGAATGATACCTCTGAAATACGTATGGTTATATGGTACAGTTGTCTTGTTAAAAAACAGTGTCAAATAATACAAAGTTCATGTATTTACATTCCTCAGAATATGAATTTGGACCCTCAGATGTGCTGCTCTGTTTGTGACAGTATCAGTCTCCAACAGTGCATGTGTGGATTGGTGCTTAGGTTTCCTTGATTTAATGACTATGCATATTTTCTTCTTGTTCCTTAACCTTTAGCAGGAGCAAATGTTTTGCAGCTAACATTAAAACAAGTCGGCTGTCCTCACTATTTGGTGTTCCGTGCATTAAGCATGACAGTGCTTTGACTGAGAATAATACTGATATAGTAGACTAGAGCAACGGAAGCACATTCATCTGTAAAATAATTAGTCTCATTTGTAAATATCCTTGGAAGTGATACCATAACTGTATTAAAGAAATGTTTAGTTTTTTATTGCTGTGCGTTGAAAATTGAAATGACTTTGGTGTGTCTGCAAAGGAAGAAAAGGCAGAACGTGATAGCATCTCATACAACAAAGTCAGAGTAACCTTGCTGCCTAATTTGTGTGCAGTCTGAGGCAGAATCTACCTGAGACAGCATTTATGTTCTTCCCAGCGTTCACAGGGCGTGGGGGGAGCGCAACATTTATTTCTGATATGAACAGAAGGGTTATTGCTGGTGACAGGGAAACCACATTCAGTAGAAGCTTCAAGACTTTGCCTGGGCAGTCCTGACCAGTTCTCTCAGTGAACAAATATCCCCATTCAGAAATTCACCTGATGATGGAGATGAGAGAGCTTTCCAGAGCTGCGCGGAAGAACTCTGATATTAGTTTAATGCCCTGCTCTGCTGAAGTGTTTACGTTGGCTGACTGAAAGGTTCACTGTGCTCTCATTAGATGAAAACCTGGTTATTACTTCAAGCGGTTCTCCTGAATTTCCCTAGAGTTTTAATGCTTTAGACATGTAGAAGCTAGTACACCTAGCACTAATGTTTCAGCATTAATGTTTATTTTCCTTGTCTTTCAAGGCAGTAGATACTCAGTATACCATTGCCAGTTTATTTAACCTGATTTATGACTGCTGGGAGAATGGAATTTTAAAGCCATTGATGTCAGCTTTGTCTGCATGCCAGTGGAGATCCTTTAGCACAAAGCTTTCACTTCTCACCCTGACCCATTCACAACAGGTAAAGAGGTATTGTCATTTATTTTTTAAACTATCATTGATCCCTGAGCGTGTTTTTAACTAGTGCAGATTGAGTAGTGTAGCCTCAGACCAGTAGTATTAAACCTCAGATGTTGATCTTACTGGGTTTTTCCCAGCTACCAGCTGAAACTTACTTCAAGAAACCTTTTATCTGTCTTGGACACATAGCTTGCAGGCCTAGGAATGGGAGGCTTAATCCCATTCCTGTTAAAGTACTGTAACAGCCTGCAGAGCTGCACCCTCATGCATCATCCTTCATGTTTTCCCTTATCAAAACCTTTGCTTTCACCCCACGTACAGAGAAGGGAAGCAGATGAAGGAGGTACAAACACCTGCTGCTGGGTCCTTGCATTGTTTTTGCTGTGAACAGAGCTGCCTTCCCAAACTGGTACCTAATAGAGCAGTTCTGCATTAAGGCCCAGTCTGGTCTGAGAAACCAAGATGTGCTTCTCCTGCCAATTACAAGAGTTCATTGCTCTTATCATGGAGTGAAGAAATCCAGGCTATTCAAGAGATGGGCAGAACAGCTTTGGACTGGTTTTGGACAGTTATTTTGCCTTGATGTTAAGTACTATTGTTTGAACTAAGTGAAAGTTTGGGGTGATGATCCTTTTTTATATTCCATGATCGTATTAATCCTATTGTACATTTCTAGATAGGAAATACTACGGTTGCTAATACAAGTAGGCAATAAATCTTTCCCCACTTTTCATAAACTTGCCAAGTTTTCCACTGGCTAATGCATCATCAGTGATTATGGGCAGCATAACACTATTTATTCTATCTTCATTAAAGGTTTCATTAAAGGAAAACTGAATGCAAACATTCAGAGTCCTGGTTAAAGAAATCACACTTGTGCTGTTACGTCCTAAACTAACATTTACAGGAGGCTTGGTTCACAAGTTTAACTTCTCAAATACAAAGCCCTTCATTATTGCTTACCCAGTTTGTGAAACAGTGGGCAGCCTTGAAGGCACAAATGCTGGCATTTCAGCAACCACCTCCAAATAGGAAATCAGAGAGAACCAGGAGAGGAATGTCATATCATCTTTTCTGGCAGTCATATGATAAGTGTGCTGACAGCAGCAGCTGATAGCAGTACTACACTTATTGTGTAGCACCCACCACAATAAACCTCAGTTTGTTGCTGTGCACTGGTTTAGTTATGCAGCTGGAAGCAAGGGCAACAGCAGAATTAGCCTCAAGGTGCTGGTAGTCGCAGCAGAAGGGAGATTTATAAGAAGTTTCTAAACTGGAAGAAAAAGATGATGAAATCTCAGTAAATAGAGGTGAAATGCTCTAAGTAGTTATCAGTACTGTTTGTTCTCAACCCCTTTTTGAGGTTTTCTATATCAGGCCTGTAAATGCACATGCTACACTTGCATTTTAAATGTACACTGACAAGGGAAAGGTTTATCCTTTAACAAGAACTGTGGGGTGCCTGCTAGTTTACTGCTTTGCTGCTACGTGAGATAAGCAAAGCTGCTTTTCCCATCTGGGTGGGTATAAAAGGAGAACGTGAGCTTGGCTCTACACACCAAGATTCCTACTCTGCCTATTGAAGATGGAGGAATCTTGACAAGACAGAGTTCAGCTTTCTCCTGGAAGTCTCAGTCTGCTTTTCACAGTTCCATAGAGGTCAGCAGGTCTGCACAGCAGTGTGTGCAGAGCTGCTGTTCTCACTTCTAGTGGAGGAGGGCCTTGTATCCACCCTGTCACTTAATCTGTGCTAATCCTTTGCTATACTCAGTTCTAACTCATACAAAGTATGTATTAATACTTTACACTGGAGTTGTTTCCAGACCCTTGCTGTCAGTAGGAATATTCTTTTTCCATAGCTGTATTTTATCACTGCTGATTCAGGTTTTATTTTTCTTCATTTGAGATACCCAGAACTCCTGCTGCTCTGTCACCTGGGACCTAAGCAATGGCACAACTGCCTCTATGTGACTAACCAGAGCTGTTTCCATTGCTGCAACACAGCAGGTACACAGGGCTCCATACTAACATTAACTAACATTACTGTCCAGAGCAGCAAATGGAGTAATTTCCTGCACTGTCTTAGGCTTCAGCTAAATCATTCCAAGTGTGTGCATCTGAGTTGGAGCACCTCCATCACAGAAGGACTCATGCACTGCTGAGAGCCTAGAGCAGGAGTTCCAGAGCCACATCATTCCTGTAGTACTCTTATTTAACACTAAGCATAATAAGCCAACCCCCAAAGGGGAAAACCGAAGAGCCACCCAAACAGAACAGTTCACATAAGATTTAATTTAATTGCTTTGCTAATTTAATGGATCTCTTCATGCTGCTTCAAATTCTGTTCTGGGGTGTGAGTGTTGTAGCTGGCAGACTGTGTGGTCCAAGCTAAATGAAAAGCAAAGATGAGTTCTCATCTTCAGTTTCTGGATTTTTCTTTTGAGATTTAGTTCATGGGAGGGCCTGACAAAGTTGCTGTGAATATTGATGCTATGTATCTGGCACATTTTGTAAACGTGAAGCAAACTTGGATGAATGTTTTATATACTGCATTGTAATCCTGCTCCTTTTTTAAAATTCTAAATAAATAAATAAAGTACTTGTTTGTAACGTCTGTATTTTAAGGAAGTGACTTCTTGGGAGGGACACAGACTGGCAAAAGCTGGAAGGGACAAGAGAAGGGTGAGGCATGTAAAGCACGTGGTCTTTGAGCATAAGGCTTCACACTTAATAAAAGTCTCACTTCCATAAGGACAAAACAGAGCAGCAAATTTGACCCCGTACCTTTTGAAAGTCAGATTTCTCAGCTATGACATAGGAAAGACTTGAAATACAGGAGCTATGAGAAAGGTGAATGCAGAGCCAGGGGCTGTTTATTCAAGGGAGCTGTATGCTGCAGACAGGCAGCTCTTCTCAATCTCTGACTGCTGTAACCCTGGGCCTCGTTTGTATTATGAAAGGATAAGTGTTTTTAGCCTAGGCTGCCCAAAACAGGATAAAAAGATCAGCTCCTGATTTTAATCTTTAAAGAGATGAGAAGAAGAGGAAAGAAAGTTTTAGTTTTGCAGCCCTAAAAGAGCGGCTTGCTGGAGAAATGGGACAGGTGTGCCTCATTTAGTTAATTCTGTTACTTATTTACAATGAAAACTATTTGGTTAAAACAAATACAAAATGCTGAGCACTTTATGGCTGTAAACACCCAAATAACCAGGTTGGGGGTGAATAAGCACTATTCATCTGTTGTTACACATAGAGGAAGGGAGAAGTAGGAAGCCTGAGACTTGATTTAGAGGCAAGTTCCATGGATCTGGACAGTGACTTCCCAGCTACAGCACTTGCAATTTTGACTCCTAGGTACCACAACACTGGTGGTAAAGCTTGAGGGAGGACCTGGGGTCCTCAGCCATAGAGCTCTTCCCTCCTCACCTGTGTAGGTTCAGCCCCTTTCCCCCAACACCCTGAGTGCTGCATGGCAGCTCTCCAGATCCACGGTTACACTAAAGAATCAACTTGCTTCCAAGAAAGGGGTCTGACAATCACTTTTTTCTTTTCTTCCATAGAAAGAAACTGTTCTGGTTGCAGAAAGAGGAGAATAACCCAGGACAGCCTGCCTGTAGAGAGGAATAGACACTGTATGAGTAAGAGCAATACAGAAGTCACCTTTGAGGCTCTGTAACTTGGCACAGATGGGCAGTTACAGGGTCAGAACTACAGTTTGCACCTCTGAGAACAGACCCTGAGGCACAGAACAAAAAAACTTAAGGAGCTGTTAGAATTTCTCCTTTTCTTCCTTACAGTCATACAGCTTCTACAACCACCCATGAATGGATGTAAAACCAGGTACATTTAAGATTTCTATGCTGGCATCTTCACTTGAGACGTATGCACCTAAGTCCTTAAAGGAAAGCTGAGAAACCAAAAAAGGCAGGGTAAATCCTTCAAGGGCTACAGGCGCCCCTGCAGAGACATGCTGAAGGATTGGGTTTCCTACCCACGGGCACCTGAGCATCCTTCCACAAAAGCACATGAAGGATCTGCTCTCTGGAGCAGGAGGATGTGAAAGTTTATGGAACAGCTGAATGCATTCATTTTGTTGCTGAATTACATCATTACCAGCATAATATATTGAGTATAGCACAACCTCCAAACAGCCCTCTCTGCAAAATGTCTTTGGAAAACTGATAAAAGATGTCTGCTTCAGGACTGGGCGCACTGTACAATAAGTAACGTCTGTTCCCTGCTGTGTTCTTACCATCTCCTCTTTACCGTGTTTCTCTCATTGCTTAACATTTGTTTTGCCAGAATAAGATGCTAATAAAATCAAGAACAGTTACCAAATTGGTTTTCAAGTGTTGCATTCCAATTATAAAAACCTAATTCTTCCTCCCATCCGCTGAACCTTTTTGGTATTAACAGGCTTTACTATGCAAAGTGATGCAGGGGCTGTTTCGTTTACAGTAATTAAATGAATGTCAATTGTTTTAGTTGTTTCCGAGGGAGAGTTCTACACGAGTATTAGCATGTTCTGCTAACCCTTACGTTCTGCTCTTCAGGCCTGCTGCAAACCCTTGGGGGTTGACCATTGACCTGAGACTGCGTACCCAGACATGCCAAGTGCATCTCAATGAGACAAGCTCTTTTTCTCAGTTTCTATGGAACCAGCAGAGCGGAACTAATATAACGTCCGCATATAGATGAAAGAATGAAGAGGAAAAAGGGCTTTACAGCTAAATTAATTAAGCAGATGTACCTGTCTAATTAAAGACAGGCCGTCCCTTTTGTACCCTAGCTGCAGTACAAACAGTATTTAAATCCACTCTCTATCCATTTCATCTATCAAAATATTTAGTTGGAACACTCAGATGAAGGTGATATTAGCGAGATGAGCTTCCCATGTTTTATTAATAGAAGGGCTCCCAATTATGCATGAATGCTACAGCATATCTTTATAGTAATAGCATAAAAAACAGCTGCCCAAACAGGTTACCAAACAGCACATTTGTAACAGGTAAAACTGTTATAAATGCTCCGTCCCAGCTTTAACACAAGGGTTTGTGGTCAGGCCCTGTGTGGCTGTTCCTGGCACCATGAGTTGAATTTCTCAGTGCAAGAGGCACAGAGGACTCAACTCACATTGCCAGTACTACAGACTTAAGTTATTTATCCTGAGATTTTTTAATGCTATCCCTCAGTCTGGCAAATCCCCACTCATCAAACCTCCCAAAGGTTTTAAAAACTCTGACCTTAAACTCTCATCATTCCTACCCCAAATAACACAGTACCACCTGAGCCATCCAGCTAAGCAGGGCCTTCCCAACCAAATTTACTCCGTAGGTGTAAGGAAGGATTTGAGCACATATATCCTTATGGTACTCCATATACTCGATTGAAGACAACAACAGAGACACACTTGATAACAGTAGGAGCAGAGAAGTCACAAAACCAAAAGGCTCCTGGAGGCACATGCATCCTACCTCCTCCTAGACATAAAGACTTGAAGGAGAAAGTTGAGGCATCCTCAGCCCCTGATCAAGGGGAGCTCACACCCACGTACACAGCAGAAATAAGAGTCATAATAAAGGCATCAAACTTAGTGCTTGTCTGAATCACTACAACAAATCACACTCCTTCCTCGGAAACATTAAAGATGCACATTCCCATAGCCAGGCTCTAGTTAATAGTGCCATACTTCTCACCAATGATTTTCTAGTTAAGAAAGACTTACCTGAATCTTTAGGGCAACCCAACCCAAGCAGAGCAAACCAACCAGGCACCCACTGCCCCAGCCAGCAGGAAATAAGATGGGAATGGCTGCTGCAGAAGAGCCTCTACCACAGGCTGAGAGCCTCGTTATGCCCTTAATTGGGTTCTAAACGTGATGAACCTGCTACCAGTTTTCTATGACTCCAGATACTATCTCCTGTTGTTTGGGGTGTTTCTGCCTGGCTGTGTGACTGCAGAGCAGGTCGCAGGGACCATCCTGCTGCTTTGCCAGAATATTTTAAGCAAGTTGAGTGAACAAGGGAATAAAAAACCAAAGAACATCTAGTAGCTTTATTATTGCAAGTTAGCTGGGTATCACACAGTTAACATAAAACTGCTAATTGCTCAATTGCAGAGTCAGGAAAGGACATCTGAATCAAACACAGGAGATTCCCCAGCTGCCACCCTTCATAATTTGGATCACAAAACAAAAGCCAAACAAAAATGCCTAAAAGCACCATCTCTTACTCTGCATTTTGCCTTGGTGAGCTCTGAATCTAACACTGAATTCCTGTTTCCCTGGGAATGTGCCACATCAGTGACTGGATTGCAAGCATTACAAGGAAAAATTTAAACCAACTATCCAAGAAATCAACCTTAATTAATTAGAAGCATTTAATTTTTTTGCACGGAAGGGGCTTAATGATACAGCTTTCTATAAACTCAAAGATAGGATATGGGTCTTGATCAGCATTGACATAAAAGGCGTCTTCATAAAACTCCTGCAGATCCCTGACGTTCCTGTGATGGGTGTCCACGCGTTTCTCAATGTTGTCCTCCTTGTCCTTGGGGTTCTGCTTGAGGCGGGCTTGGATCTTTGGAGTGGGTGCTGGTCTGAGTGTTGTGTGATATCTGCAGATGGGATACAAAGGCCACCTCTTGAGCTCAGTCTGAGGACGCAGCAGCCATCGCCTGAATCACTCCATGGTTTTCCTACTCCTGTGCCTTTCTGCTCAAGTTGGAAATTTCAAGGTAAATTAACCAGCATTCCTGCTCTCAAGAATGTCAGATACTCAAGAACTGAGGGGTTCTCTTGAGGTGGTGCAGAAACTGCTGCCAGTGTCTCTATGCTTCCCGTAAGGTGCAGATAAACTGCCCTGTGCCCAGTGCTGCAAATTAAGATGCACTTCTGGATCTGTTCCGGCCCCACTCTCCTGATTACCAGTTTTGCTGTAACCTTTGATTCCTACCAGTGTCTGTTTCTGGGAGGATAAAAGATAGAATGTAATTCTTGGTATCTTTTTATAGTAGCTGGAGATAAAAAGAGCTTGATTCACTCTGAGGTAGATTTTAGTTACTTCTGATTTCCAAAATGCTGGAATTTGGCTCTCCTGAACCCACAGCTGTGGATTCACAGAGGCAAAGGATTTCCATCAGCAGAGTCCAGCCCAGCCTGCCCACACAGCTGATGCCAGAAGGTATTCAGACAATGATTCTGTACTGCCAGAGGCTCCCAGCAATTGCTAAAAGCTCTTTTGCAAACACATATTTAAATTTTCTGCCACAGTATTTCTGCTTCTGACTGATCATCTCCTGTGCCCTTTGCCCCTGATGTCACAGAAACACTGCATCCCTCTGCAGTAAAGCCAATTTTCCTGAAACCATTGGGATAGATGCAACAACAAGGAGGAAAGCAGAGCCTCTGCATAGAACTGCATTACAACTCCAGCTGGTACCACGATGTGGGAACAAAATTCTTTCCACGTGAGGATTATTTAGGACACAGCTGAAGGCCACCCGCCCTCCTCACTGCATTGCAGCCAGTGGTGCAGCTTTAATATAATGATGAGGATTAGATACAGCATCTAAAACAATTCAATTCACAATGAATTTGGAAGGAATAAAACCCAGACTTTGGAAGAAGGAAGCGTGTGAACTGGAGCAGATACCAAACAGGCTAATCCTAATGATAAGAAATGCAAAGACGTGTGAATGATTTGCTTCGTGCCGTTCATTTCTTCTGAACAACTGCATCACTTATTACTAAAACAAAGAGAACACTTACTGCAAATCACTGCTGCTGTCACCAGTTAATGTTGCACCTAGAGTGAGATGTCTGAATAATCGCATGGCTTTGGCACAGACCCAATGTTTAGGGCTTTATCTTCGAGGGTTCTGTGTTTGTCTTTGATTCAGGCGTTTGCACGTTAAGAATGTGAAACAGTGCTGTCCAACTTCAGTGTGGGCAGTTATCCACTGGAGATAATAAAACAGCACAAGTGAGAGTTGGAGTTGCAGCCCCATTTCCAGCAGAGATGTAGGGTGGTCCCTCATGACACAAGGGTGAGGAAGGCAGTAACCCGATGTCCCCAGTGAAATGAGGTGATGTGAGCACCCGTGAGACAAACCAGCACATCTGAGAACCACATTTTACAGCGACTCTGCGACTCAAACAAGTTTGCTCTACTGAGTGGGAAATGATTTAATATCTCATGGTAGGCAGAACCATCACAGCAGCAGGGGAAGTAAAACACAGCAAGATTTCCATCTTCCCCAGCTGGAAAGCCTTCAGAATTCTCATGGGAATGTCTGAAAACCATCTGCATTTAGGCTAGGTTTCAGACATCTTCCCTCAGCATTATTTTTACCGACCAATTTAGTTGCCATTAAAATGTTAAGAATGGAGCTACTTGCTGCTGTGCATTTCAGTCTCTGGGATTTTAAAATGCCCTGTTCTGTGGAGAGGAGCATACAGTAACAGATGGGTGGGTTGGTACTTGAGTAGCTATGAAAATTTTAACTTTTCTTTTAAGGAATCCCTGAGCATGAGTACAATATTCCTGAGGTTCCTTAGATTTCTATGAAGTCTACTTGCTGCTTTCATCTTGCTGGCAGTCTTAAAAAAAAAAAAAGTTAAACGTGAGATATTAGTGCTAACCTTTCCCCTGTGACTGGATCAATCCTCCGCTGAGACAGTCGTTCAATGATGGATTCGTAGGGAAGATTGAAGAAAAATACCCTGTGGAGAACATAATGAATAAGAGCATTAACATCCTGAGAACAGCACTGGCAACCTTCAGAGCAGGAGTTAATCCTTATCCTAATGGAATAGGACATACAAACATGGAAATGTCCATTAGTGTATCAGAAGGCAGTAGTATATGCACAGAGTCTTCTCTGGTTCCTCTCCCATCTCGTTGAGTCTCCAGGTTAGGAGAGCAATTATTGCATGTCAAAGGCAGGAGTGAGTAGCACAGTGCAGTGTCAGAGCTCAGCATACACCCATGCCAGGGCACAGAAAGCAGCACAGAGTGGCATGACCCCTCTGCCAACAAGCCTTGCTGCTAAGGCTGCTAAGAGAAAAGGTTAATGCTTGGTTTTAAGATCAAAGCCTGCAATTCTCATCGAGTCTGTATGAGACACAGTTGCTCAGCACCCTAAAACATCTGACCCCCAGTGTCAGGTTTCATATGTGGGTTTCATAGTGTGAACAGAGCACGGGGTGGAACTGGTCAGCTCCTTTCATTTGCCTTCCATGAGAGCCCTGATCTGAATCAAGGATGCACAACCAGAACTCAATACGCACTGCTATGGAGCCCAGCCATGCTGCTGTGCCCATCCCACAGTGACCCCTCGTTGGCAGGTTGGTTCCACACAACAGTTCTGTCAATTTTATATTCTGGTTCAAAGACACTTCAGCAGGAAATTCTCACTGAATTCTCATAGTGACACTGAGTGCTGTGAGCCCCTGGGCTGGGGGAATCCCACAGTCATTGGAAGAGACCACCGGCACAAAGCCGGACAAAGGTCACATTTAATGGTTAATTTAGAGCAAAACAAAAGTAAAGCTTCCTTTGAAAACTCAAGAAAATAAACTTTTACCAACTGAACAGGCCTGAAGGCTGTACACGTGTCTTTCTTTATTATATACCTTCTCCTGCTGCTGCCTGCAAGGCCCGGCTTCCTACTTCGGCTGTCTGCCTCTCGCAGCGATGCGGCACGCTTCAGACATTCACCAAAGGAACATTTTACACTGACTGGGTGGGATCAAACCAGATGAAAGGCTGAGCTTTGCCTCGGCATGCACAGAGCAGATTACTAGAATCCTTTGTAGGATTTAAAGTTATGAAAATCATCTCTCTTTTCAAATGTTTACAGATAATGACTTCCTTTCACACCGCGGTAACAAAACAACAGCCAGGAATAAAACATTCAAGATCTTGGAGGTTCCAAAGACAGGAAGAGAACAACAGTTTCAACACTCTTTTATCCCATACACTCTTAACATTTTGTTTTTCTTTGTTTCCGTTGCCCAACAATGGCACAAAAACGTGATTGTCAGAACAGGTAACATCTGATGATGCATCTGGAGATGAATATTCTAGTAGAGAGGAACAACACCTATGCAGTCATGATAATTGATACGGCTTCCCATTATATTCTGAAATAAACAAAACCACTAAAGGATTATAACCTGGCGTATCAAGAAAGCTTGTCGTAATTCATAGTTAGCAACTCAGGAAGTATTACGGTGTTTGAAACAGAAGAGCCTAAAAAACTCCACTTAAAAAGCTGCCAACAAAATGAACTCTGAAAGCCTTGTCTGAGATTCCCTTCTTTTCTACACAAGATGCTTCTTATTATCCAGTCTGGTGTCACCATTAAAGAGAAGTGTCGGGGGAAGATGTGGGAGAGAACAGACACTGCTGCTAATACGGATTTCTTTTTTCCCCCAATGCATGGTAACAAGGTGCACGTGGGACACACAGCACAAACTCCTGATGTGGCCCAGCAGAAGGAGGGACCACACAGCCCCCAGAGGTGCAACACAGCTGGAGCCTCAGGGCTGGCTGAGTAATGCCACTCCGAAGCAGGAAAAGAAAGGGAAAAACAATGGAGCTATCAGGGATGCTTTTAATGCTTCCAATTAGAAAGTGTTGTCATTGTTTTGAAGGACTGCACACAGCCCCAGGAGGTCACTCACAAGAGTGACTCTACAGAGCATTGGTCTTCTGGTATTTCTCGAGCCTCAAGCTGTCCAGGTAATGCCTTTGTTGCATTGAGACAGAGGGCTGCATGCATCCACGACCCCAGAGCTCAGAGCTGTAATGGGAGCAGCTCCTGGCAAGCACTGGGCTCAGAGCTTGGCCCCTTCTGCATACAGTGCTTTGTTTTTCTTCCCCACATCAATGCATCCTCTGTAAAGCTCGCGTTAGGAATCAGCCAGGCTTTGTATGTTGTAATGTGTCACAACTTCTATCAAGGGGAAATATGAAACAGATGTCATCAGAATCGGTAGACAGGGAGGCAAGGAAACACAGCCTCATATCAAAGGATACTACATTATACTGCTAGATTAGCATCTAGCACAGCTTCTCTTTCAGAGTTGGCAAGCTGTTCGTTCAGCTCTGCAACAGGTGAATAACGTCAATCAGCAGCAGCACGAGGTCTGCTCTGGGATGGGCTGGGCACAGACCTTCCAGGAATCCTCCCTGCTGAACCACAGCTCAGCTCCCTGCCCGGGGACAGCCCCAAACCCTCGACACCCAGTTACAGATGGCTGTTCTGTGGAATATAACTTGGTAGAACACTCAGCCCAAACCAACCGAGTGGACACGCTGCTGCCAGATGCAGGAGTGAACCAAGCAACGTGTAAGCAAAGCTCTGTCCTCTCTCCTTTGTTCTCTGTTCCAGGAGAGGGATGGGAGAGAAGGTCCACTCCCATCAGTTGGCTTACATAGATCATAAAACCAGGAACAAATGTCAGAAGGAAAAAAATCTTATGTTGAAACCCTGCTTATTTCCCACTGTATGTGGTGACTTCTAAGGTCCCTTCCAACATTAGCCATCCCCCGATTCTCTGATTCTACTCATCTAATCTACTGCAGCTTTCAGATACATTCGAGACATTAAACTCCAACAAATTAATAATGTTGATGACACCATCACTGTGCACGTAGTCAAAGGCCCTGTTATGAGAACTATCTGCCTTTGGATGATGATGAAACACATGGGGCCTCCAACAGCTGGAATATAATGCTGTTTTCCTACCAGCCATCTGCTATTCCAAAACAGTGTTCCAATCGCTTCTGGCTTTTCAGCACTGCCACTGGAGCATCCTGATGGCTTCCCTTCACAAACAGAGAGAAGGTAAAGGTGGTGATGGCAGAGGTTTTTGGAGAAACATGTCACAGTAATGCAGTAAGTAAGAAGGAAGCATTTCTGACCTGCACAGCAGCATTCCTCTAATCGTGAACAATGCGTTTGTTCCAGATGGCAACCTAGTTAACCCAAGTTATTAACAACTGACAGTGCTGAGAGTTGTCCTCGGGAGAATTTTTTTTGGCGGTGGTTTTCCTGTTTTGTGGATATAATGTCACAGTCTCAAAGCACGTACAACAGAAAAACGTGTTGCCATTTAAAAAAAAAAAGTGTTGTATGCCTGCACCAGACATCATCGAGCTGGGGATGAGGGCACGCTTCTCTTCCCCAGGTAGGTCCTGACAACCACCTCTCAGGATGGCCCCACTGCCCTTCCAGCTGCCTTCACAGCCACGAGAAGCAAAGCTCTGCCTGTAGACCAAGGCCATCTACAGGTCTTGGTCTTGTAATGTCAACATTGCTGCTCTGTGAGGCTGACCTGGAGGAATGATGCAGATGTTGACTGTTCTGGACCTGAGCTATTTACTTAGGTCAGATTCTCACTGGCATTTTCTGTTACCTGGAGTTACTCTGGATTTACATCAGTGGAGGGGAACACAAAGCCAAGCCCTTTTTGTAAGCCAACTGCCAACGAAATCCGACCTACACCACTAAATCTAATTGAATTCATACCTCATTTGCATTTAAGGATGTAAAGAGAACGTGACATAATATCTGAGAACACTGACCTCAGAATCTTGACTCCCTAACTGGCATTTAAAAACAGGCAGTGCTGACTCACCTGTGGCTGTGCTATGGCCAGAACAGCCTCTGCAAGAAAGTTGGGATGCTTGAAGTAAAAAAAAAAAAAAAGCCAACACCAAAAACACAGCACTGGGCCGCTTCTAATGCAGCATTTAAACTTTTGAGTTGAAACTGCAACTTTAAAAATAGTAAGCTATTAATCTTTCCCTTATTTTCTTGACTCCTATATATCTTCTCCCGTGTAGGCAGGTACCAGCTGCCATGCTCCCATTCTTCACGCTCTGCACTCTGCAAAAAAAGAGGCCCCTGCTGGCCAATTCTTGTTTAAAATTGTGCATAATTGATAGTGGCAAATCTACCCCAGCTGTGTCTAAAACCTCTCCAGGGGCAAGAAAAACACTCTCTGTGACTGTCATTAACTACTAAATTAGCAAGTGCTCCTGGCAGTTTACAACATAGCACATCAGTCTGCTTTTCTTTAAATAAAAAAGGAAAGGAAAAGAATGTGAAGATCAGATGCTGTGTGATCTCAAAGTTACGTCACACTTTGCTGGCAGAACTTTGACAGAAGCCCCAGCTAAACAGGAGCAAAAGACAATGGAAGGAGTGAGTGGGAGAAAGAGCAAAAGGAAGAGGAAGGAGAAGGAAGGACCCCAAAACCACGCTCTTTTTTAGGCAGACAAATAGAAAACGCTAAGCTCAAGGTGAGAAAATGGAGTCTTTGATAGGGTGTGATACATCTTTGACAATCTGGAGATATTAACACAACGTTGTCTGATACTGCAACATAATTCCCTATGGAAAGGAACTCACCTGGAGGACTTCATTCCGGCAGCACAACAGCTTCAATTTTTGTATTTGAGACACAAAGGTGGAAAAGAAATGAGGCTACTGAAGTGTATGGATGCAGCAGTTCCCTAAAGGGCTGCCACAGGTCGAATCCTTGTGTGATCATTGGCTCAGTGCAGGCTCCTCCCTCTGGTTCATAAAACAGAGCCAAAGCAGGTGGAGGAGGAAATAACACAGTTCTCACAAAAGGATGAAGTGCCCTTGGAGGTGTTATGGACTGGCCTGGCAGAGAGAAGAACCATGGCTAAACCACAGACCCACTGT